AGCAAACGAATCACACTACACACACACACAAACACACACACACACCCACTTGGATGATGCGGTTTGATTGCCGTTTTATGTTGTCTCATTTGTTTCTGTCGCCTTAAAGTATGCAAAGAAGCTTAGCTGTGCCATATGTAGTCTGTGCCGCATCAGATGACATACGTTAAAACAGAATACCAGGACACACCTAGCCTACTAGTTACCTATTAGAGTACCGAGTAGGGAACGTTAAGTTGATTCCTTGTGTAATTGCACATGACATATCTCGCCTTGTAGGCACATTAGAGTTGCCGTAAACGTACAAATGCGCTTGTGGTATTGAGTTCTGTTTTCTCTGTTAATATTTGCTTTGCTTTTTATTTTGTGTTCAATAATTAATTTCCTGACAGGAGATTGTTTGCCAAGTAAGGACAACAGACGAAATTTTACATAACAATAATTCCGATGGATAATTTAAATTCCATCGGTCAAGTCAAATATTAAATTTGAGCAAAAGCAATCGCAGATGATTTAATAATAATTTTAAATTTAGTTTGGATTTTATTAAATTAAAAAATGAAATTATGTATTTTCATATTTATTTAGGTTAGGTTAAGTTATACCGGCGATCCCTGGTGGATCCACTATTTGCCCATAGTGTTACCGCATACATATGTTAGGAAAAACTCGGGGTTTAAAACCACCCAGAACCTTTTCATATTTATTTATATTTCATTATTAATTATTAATTCAAAGAAATTGATTAAGCACTTACAAAAATTTTAAAATTTCACTTAAATTGATATTATTTTTATTGTTTGTTTTAGACGAATTTTTCAATTCAACAGTGATTTATCGAAAAAAAAATTTCCAACTTCCTAAAATCGCTCATATCAATAATAGAATATATATTTTCTATTTCACAACGATAACACAAAGAATTATATTGTTCAGATATATTAAATTTTCTAATAACCAACTTAAAAAGACCTTCTACATTATTAAATTTAAAACCGATTTATCGAAAGAAAATTGTCTATACTCCTTAAAAATTCGGTCATACCAATAATAATATATATATTATCTATTTCACGACGACAACATAAAGAACCATATTGTTAAGATATATTTAAATTTCGAACATTCAACTTAATAAGAACCTCTATACATTTAAAAACTCGACATACTGGATATATGCTTAGTGTTTTCATAATAAAAATTATGTCCATATCATATTCCAGCTGTAGATACATGTCATAAGGTTCAGGTTCTCAACAAAGGATTCGTGTTCCCTCAATTTGTAAGAAACCATACTATTATTGTGTAATAATTTAAGCTTAGTAATCGGAAAACTGGTTATTGAAAGGGTTTTCTTCTTCTTGACTCTGTATATGCCTTTATCAATCGTAAATTCAACTAGTATTCCAGAAATGAAACAAGTAGAAGGAAATTAAGTCGTTTTTTATATAAACTAAATGTGTTTGCACTGTGTTCACAAATTTTGATGGCAATTCCGTTTAAAAGTGTTGGAGAAGTAGAATTAAATTTTTTTTTTATAAAAAAAAACTAAATAGTTTTTCTACTTTTTCATAATGTTTCACATCACAAACTTGATTATTCTAGTCTATTTAACTATTTGTATCTACCTTACTCCGAAGTTCCACGATAATATTTAAGATTTGTCTACATTACCAATAAGATCCCATTGTAAATAATAGATATCATCAATTAATTAAGAAATCATCCAGATCATGTAAGAATATGGAGATCAAAACTGGCTTGTGTACACATCATTGCTTCACGCCTTGGATGACTTTGAAGCAAAAAGTATTAATATTACCGTCAGTTTTAAAGTATGATTTTAAAAATGTGGTTGAAAATTTGTGAGACAAACCTGGTCAAAAAAGAAAAGCAGTCGTAAGTAGAACATCAAATGCAAAGAAGAAACTGACAAAAAAGGGAAAACGTTTCCCTTTTTAGATTTCCCTGTAGGTTTTAGTGTATTATGAAAGTTTTTTATATATACTGCACTTAAACTTCAAATTCAAATTGGGGATTACTACTATACTATACTACTATATAGTATAGTATACAAAATATTATATATTTTATAAATATGCTATACTTTTAGTATAGTGGTAACTACACTTTTTTAAAATCATCTGAATAACTCATTATCATAGTTCAATAAAACACTTATTACAGTGGATCGCCCAAGTGATCATAAACACTATTAAATAAAAGTGCTTTAGACACAAATTCATGTTTCATTAAGCAAAGAAAAACACTTAATAAATTATGTTATGCATCAACACATATTTACTGGAAAGGAAGTATTAGAATAAGTCTATGTATAATTTTATAATTTTGACAAGGAAGTTACGTTCTCTTACGTGCTCTCTTACACATGATCAACGTTATACGATCAAAAGTATTAAAATATCACCAATTGACCAATTCAATCTGAATTAATAATATAATAGAACTGAATTCAGGTCAACTAAAATTTTTTTTCATTTTATAATCATTTCATAATAATCTACTAAATATTTTGTTATAGTATAAATGTCATATCATAGCCTTTCCATGTTTTCAAAGTAGTATACTTTTAGGCACACATTTTTATATATTTTACTTCAACTATTAAGAAAAGTTTTTGTATAACAGAAAACGCTTTTCTCTATAAAACAAAGTAACAATTTATGTAAAGCCAACATATTACAGGCTCTATTGCTCTTTACATAAATATTTGATTCGAAAATTATTCTAAGTATTTTTATTTAATGATTTAATAAAAAAAAAAAACTTTCAAAACTCAAGTACTTCAGAATTTTACAATAATCCCTTCAAGTTTCTTCAGCAAGCGGTTAAGTATTCATGTTCGTCCTTGTTTAAATTTATGTCCATAACCACACAATTTAAGCAGACATGTAATATATATACATTAATATATATACATAAATATATATACATTTATATATGTAATAATCCACCGCCAATGTTTTGGTGCTGTTATACAATTTTATAAATATTTGAATAACAAAAAACAATAGATTATGAATGCATAAGGACTGCACGGAAGCAAAAGGCTTTTACTACAAGAAAAATTCATAAAATATTCTAGAATATAATATGTGAAAATTGCTTCCGTCTATCCTTTAAGAAAGCATCTCTCTTATTGTACTTAAGGCAAAATTATTATACCATAAACAAAACTATAATAAAATATAGTTTTAAAGCATATCGGTTGGGTTTTTTGAATTGTTCGGAAATATGTCATACTATTAAACTTAAATTACTAAGTTACATCTAAGCCCTTTAAAACTTGTTTGCATCAAATGAAATATTTTTTATAAAAAATGAAAACTTTTCAAATTTTAAAGTAATTATATTAAATTATTAACATTGTTTTTTTTTTAAGTTTTGGAAGATATTTTGAAAAACTTAACGATCTCTCCATACGTCCAACTCCTATATGAACGTCATAGATACTTCAAACTAAAACCTAACTATATCTGTAAATGTAAAGAATGACAGCTCTGTCAACTTTTAATAAAACCGAATAACCCTAAACTTTATAATAACTAAATTTTAACAACTTACTTAAAAACCATGTAAATAAATAAACACTTCCATTATTGTAAACACATGCAATCAATTTATTGCAAAGTAACCAGCTAACTATTAAGTTTTGATTTAATGGGATATACTAAATCATATTTTAAAATGTAACTAAAATCTAATAACTATGATGCTAATCTCATTTTAGTCTTCACAAACTTCGTGCCAAGAAATTAAGTTTTGAGAAAGGGACTTCGTTTAACTGGGTGGCCGTATTTAAATGATTTATATTAAAATAATAATTCAACGCGTTTGAACCTATACATGAATATTTAAGGACTGTTAATTGAAGCTGATGAGAATTATAAATAAGTAAAAAACTATTTATGTATGGCTAAGTTTACAATTAACATTTCAGAATCCAAAGTTACGTGTAACATAATTGTTTTTTAATACTTGAATGTCAATTCAACTACAAAAGCAAAACATGATTGGGTGAAATAATAAACTCATTACATATTAAGTCATATTAAATAAATATATTGAAAGGACTCATATCATTAATGTAGTTGTAATGAATTATATTGCTTAATATATATATATTTATATTACATTTTTGTTGTATAGTATTTATTATCAGTGGTTTTTTAAGTCTAAATACTACAATAAAGATAATACTAAACATTCTAAGCACCTGTATTTTTGATCAAAAAACTACTAAAATCATTTAAAATTACTGTAAAGTAAAATTTAGAGAAATAATTCACAACTTAAAGATATCAAAACGAAGTATATACACTACATAAAAACGGTAAAGTAACGAGCTTACTCTATTTACTCTGAAATTTCTGAAAATGTGTTGATGACAAATTATGTGTGTGACAATGGATGGAACACAGATCATCCACTAACGGGCAGTTATACTAACAAATAGCTACTCTAAGACTTTGGCCTCCATATGAGATAGGATTGATTAGTTTGTGTTAGAATAGAAAAAATAATCAATAGCTAATATTATATGGGTTTACTGTTGTGTTATCTTCTCTGTCAATAAGGTAATACACCAGATCACAAGTTGATCACGTTCTCAGCTATGATTAACTATTTGAGGACCTTAATGAAATACTCTGGGTAAAAATTTGATTTTAATCAAAATGGAATTTATGAGGCTATTACTTTTTCTGAGGTCAAAGAATAATTGTTCTGCCAAAAATTCGCAGTGTTGGGAAACATTAAAATTAAGCATCACTCTTGATGGAGACTATGCTTCCGAATACAGTCAAAATTTTATCTAACTGTTGTTGTGTTATTAGTTACTGATCCTACAAACTTATTAAGCGTTGGATTATATTTCAAAATTTAATTTTAAAAATAATATAAAATTTTATATAGAAATATTAATTGAATGTTTTTTTGTTTTTACAACAAAAGCTGAGTTTTTCTCTTCAGCTAATATCAATATAAATATGCGTGTATATATTTAAAATATTCAAACCTATTAAAACGCTGATTTTAAAGCTTTGTTAAGAATTAGAATAAATATCTAACATAATATACTTAATGAACTTACCTCATAAAACGAAGGTGGTATATAAGTAGATATAACCTCAGCCATTGGGAAAGCAATACCCATAACCACCAATAATTTTCCATAAAGCGCTGAGAAAAGAGTTGCCAATGCATCGCCACTGTAATAAAGATCAACTGTTAATAATATGGTTACGTTAGTTATGGTTAGTATATTTTATAAAAGCCTCAAAACGAATAAATAAATAAAACAGTAAGAGTATCTGATTGCGTGGCGCCTGTTAACGTGTTCTCAAGATCCGGTATTGTTATATGATATCCAGGTTGACTTAAATGACTTCCAATAATAATTGGAAAAAAAGTTTCAAAAGTGGGATAACTTATTTCAGATAAATTCAGATAATTCTCTTAACTATCTGCTGTTTTATTCTTTAATTTTTCTGTGTTGTGAACCCATTTGAGAGGGACTTCAGCTAGTCGATTTAGACACTAATTTTTGTTCTGCACAATTTAATTAGCTTAAGAAGAATAAACACTCCTTATATGTTCTTGCTATCATTTGCACTAAAGCGACAAACCTCTCTTATGGGTAAAACTGTAGACTGAAAAATTGTGGTTTCGTTACGTAGCCGGAATGAGTGATTTATTGAAGCAAATAGTGAAAATACTTTTATCCCTAATCTGAAATCATTCATGTATAATTTTGTTGAATCTTTTTGGATATTCATAAAGTTTTTATGCACAGTCTACCATATAACTGCTACACATCTCTAAATGAGATGTCGATGTAGTTCAATATTTCTCTAATCTGGATTCCCGATCATAAGGATATTATCGGCAATTGTAAAGCAGACGAGATACCCGGTCGGGGTACTGCAGGAAATCGCTCGGAACACCTAAACAGTCTAGGTACATCGTTGACATCATGCAAACTAGCACTGAGTTTTTCCTGTACCGAAGTTTTTCACAAAAGATGGGAAGACTCAACGATATGCAGACATCTGTAGACAGTTTGGACACGCTCTAATAAAATAAAATCAAATTCTCTCATTGAAAAGCCCCGTAGAGATGTCAGTCTTGTAGTAAGTTTACTTACGGGTCCTTGTATTTTAGGTAACCATGCTATGAAACTAAATCTTCCCTTCAACTATACCTGCCTTGTGTGGTTCGTTAGCTATATCCACACTAATGGCTACATATAAAATGATACTTTAAGAACAACTTTATTATCTGTTATATTAATAAAATAGTCCTTTTCAGTTTTTTAATGAAAAGTATATTGACTTCTACTTTGTTTTTAACATTGACTCATAGCGTCGTTTGTCCTTCCTCTCAACATAAATTCTGTTGAATTCATCTGAAAACATAGCGTGCTACTTGTCTGCAACACTTCTTTATTATTTTAATGAACTTCTAAAGTCATTAAAAGTGGTCTGAGATGAAAACATTGTGTTTACTGTAGTAATATTATTTAATAAATTAAATTATTCCTGTTTTATATGCTCTTTTTATACAAAATCATGTACATTGTAATGCCTTTATTATTGCACACGTGTAAGTAGAAAATTTCCGCATCCGCTCCAGACTCTATCAATTAATTGACAAACAGATTAAGATACCCCCAAATCACAAACACAAAAAATTGCTACATTATAAACACGAATGCTGCTCGGGGTGTAGTTGGGGGGTTGTTGGCAACTGATAGAGCATGCGGGGCACAAGTGATAATAATGATGTTCAAGTTAAGCTAATATGCCACACATACATTACAATCTACTTAAGTTATCTTGCGGCGTCATGTGGAGAGTGCGGCTTTGGAATTCAATAGATATAAACCGATTTGGCGGGGAGAAGTACGTGTGACTGCATAAACATACATGACTTTGCGTGATGTTCAGATGTTCAGAGATATTATGCAGGAAAGGAGGCGTATTCAATCCTGCTGTAGACGTTTATGTAAGCATTAAAATGAAATGGTACTTGAAATTTATCTCAGCGGTTGACATTAATTTGTAATCAATACTGTGATTAAGACAAAGTGAGTAAATTTTCACCACTAATGCAAACTTATGACAGCAACTAAATTAAAATGCAGATATGTCAATTTTGTAATTATAAACAAAATATTAATATCCTTTTATTACAAAAACCATTTCCTGGTTGAAAAATTGAACTATTATCGTATTTCGCAACCACTAATGACTTCATGACAGAGCCTTCTTCGACTCTCTCCATTGCTAACACAACCATTTCAGTTATTTTGAATCATTTTGAAATGTGCGAATTGTTTGCCACCATCAAGACATGACGGTATGAGGAGCAATTTGCTGGCAGGTAACAAACTATAGCTTGTCATCCAAATTGGCAACAAAACTCGCTTAAGTGGTAGTCAAAGGACGAAGGAGCGTATGATTTATAGCAAATGCTGTGCAGAGAATGTCATGCCACATAAACGCCTTTGTGCAGCAGCACGGAAAAGGCAACACCACAACTTTTCCAGTTGCCGTTGCTCGACGTTATTCTGTTGTCGTGCAACTATTGCAGGCAGTTTAAATGTTGCACGTTGCAATTGCATGAATTTCAATTATTTGCTTTATTGTATGTGCGACTTTGTTTTACGAGTGTGGTTGACTACCAGCCTCAAGACCCACGCATATGGGAGTCAATTGGTTGAGGTCTCATTACCAGCAGCAAATAAAAATTGTGAAGCAAAAATGTCGAGAAAAAAGGAAAAATCCTAAAGTGAAATTGTTGCACTTACAAGTGAAGTTTTTCATTTTGTGAGAGTAAAAACATTTATGACTTTAAAATTTTCTTTCAGCAGTTGGCAGCAACCATATTTACAAAGTCCCCTTAAATGGTTCCGTATAGAAAGTTTAGGTAATGATTTATGTTGGGTTTATTAATACATGAATTTTCATTGCTTTTCTAATCTGCAAATTTATTTTAATTTCAAATATTTATTTTGTATTTACATGACAGTATACATGACCCCGAGTTGATGAAAACTAAAAGAAGAATAACTAGATATAGGATGCTAATTTATTACTTGGTGACTTAGATATTAAAACACTTTATATTACATACAGATGCAAATTTGCAAAAAAAATTACTTTTATGCTATTGCATTTTAGATTCAATTTAATTTATTTGTAAATTTACTGACACAACCAAAAATAATAATAAATTTAAAATTTTAAGAAATGACAACAAATTGTACTGAAATTAAATTATTAAAAAACTTTAATTAATTAATTCAATTGTGCTACAGCTGGTTTATGTTTAAGTTAGAACAATAAAAGTCAAGTAAGGCTTTGGGAACTTGAGTTCAATCCAATTTACATCTAGGACGGTTCTTGAATGCCACACATATTTCTCTAATCTGGGCAGTATGGAAATTTTCGGAAATTGCAAAGCAGACGAGTTAGCCAGAAAGGGAGCTTCAGGACCATACTTGGAGCACCTAGACTATCTGTATATATCGCTAACATCATGTAAATTGTTATTGAGTTCTTTCTGCACTAATAGCTTTAACAAGAGATGAGAAGACTCAACGATATGTAGACATCTGTATACAATCTGGCCACTTTCCGATAAAAGGAAATCGAAAGCTCTAATTGAGATGTCCCGCAAACACATTGGTCTTCTGGTAGGGTTTACTACAGGACACTGTAAACTAGGGAACCATGCTAGAAGACTAGGTCTTCCTTTTAATCAAATCTGTCGTAGCTGTGGGGAGGACGATGAGAGCGCATCTCATCTTTTGTGTTTTTGCCCAGCTCACGCACGTCGGCGACTTAGTACTTTAGAAGCCCCCTTCCTTGAGGACCTGGACCAGTTACAGGATCTGACTTTAATTAGCATTTTATGCTTTGCAAAAGGTTCTAGGTGGTTTTAAACCCTGAGGTTTTCATTATTTATATACGGTATCACAATGGGCCAATAGGCGTAAGTGGATCCACTGGGAATCACCGGTATAACTTAACCTAAGGCTTTGGGAAGGTTTGCTAATTAACACTGACTCTGAACTTTAAATTTGGCAAGGCACAAGTTGCCTTGCTATATATATCTTCCTAGAAAACCAGTTCTTTAACGAAAAAAGAACTTGGGTGAGTATTACACATTAGAGGAAAAAGAATATTCGATAATGTAGGTTCATACTACAATTTATCGAATAAGTTGAACTTGCAGAAGTACTGTAAATCCATGGAAGTCATAGTCTGAACTATTTTGGAATCACTAATGCAAGGCTCCAAGTACTGTTTAAAGACTACCTCTGCAGTAGTTAGTTGATGGTAAGAGCGATGAATGCATATAATACTAACTTATGCCTCCAGATGAAGTTTATTTAAGAAACACTAAGATAAATGAGAGTGAAAGTGAAAACATATCTATTGCAACTTTGTGACTAAATTATATCGCAGGAAATAAAACTTCTATTTTTTGAAAGAGAAAATCTGTTTTAAAACCTTTAAAGACACTTTTTTAGCATCTTTTTTATGGCTCTTATCCTTTTGGATATCTAAAATCTGCAGAGATTAGAACCAAGAAGTAATTATCCGCATATATAAGTCGATCATTTTTATGAGACAACTATTTTCAAAAATTAAAGCACACAAATAGTCTTGTTGTATATAATTGTAGAAAACGTTTTACAATCCTAAACTTTTTAAACTAATTTACCTTACCCAAAAGTATTTTTTACACAACCAATTCTCTTTTAAAGGAGTATTTCTTTAGAATAATTCTTAGTTCTGCCTAAATGGAAGCAGAATTGTACCGAATGCATTCTGATTCTGTAGTTCTAGTTTTGTTATAAGATAGGAGCTTGAAAATCCAAATAAAGGTGTAGAGAATAGGAAGGTCTGGTCATGTACCACACAAATTTTCTAAATAGTGGGCTTCGACAACTCGAATAGAAAATAAAATTAATCATCCATGATTCTCTTAGTCTAATACCAGGGGAAAACGAATTTGAGAGTTGGAGTAAGAGTTGTAGAAGTAAATGTATCCAGTTGTGGAAGTCAATGACAAAACAAAAAATAGTAAAATATAAATAATGCAGAAACTGTTTTTCTTATTTACCAGAATTTTTATCAGAATACATAACACTTTTATTTTTTCTTTATTTAAAGAAAAAAATAGTTTTGAAGTATAGAGCTAATGACTCCATCATTACACACTTGTACCGATACATCATATAATATTAATGGTTTACGTTATTGTAATATTCTTTAAGCTGTTTATAGAATATGGCTTGGTATATACAGAACTCCATTGCTGGCATTACGGGCACATTTAAGTTCTGTATGTCAGCATGTGTCTTTTTAACTCAAACACCACGTCGTACAGCAAAATAATTTGTCAACTTGAAATAAAAAATGTTTACTTTCTCTTCGTCGCTCATTGAAGGCAACACGTCGTATGATTCGAAATTAATTGCAATTTTATCGCGAATCTGAAGACTGAAAATGATTTGCAAAATTGTTTGCCATCTCTGTGTTAACCACTAAGTAAACAAAACACAAGAGGCGCTTTTGCCTGAAAATGACACACCATAAAGACATACCACAAATATAATTCAAGATATGAAATTCATTTCAAAATAATTTAATATTAAATGTTATTTAAGAATATTTCTTAATACAATAGTAGTTTAAGTGTACTTACGCTCTCACTCTCGGCATTGGTGGATATATGAAAGATGGTCGATGTGTACGCTTTATAGCCGGCAACACCGGATAACTTGTTAATTGTGATGAGTGATACATGAGTGCTAAGTGACCAGTTTGTCTTTCGTTAACCACACTATCTAATTGTTGTGAGGAGCTGCCTGGTGTTGGTGGTCCTGAACCGTCACCACCGTCAGAACCGCTACCAGTCACGTCTATCGGTTGATGAGTCAGTGTTGAAGAAACTGGTAGATTTGATTCGTCAATTGTTACTCGATGCTGTGAAGTAGAGTCACGCATGCGTGCAGTAGACTTTGCGGGTGAAACTGATGTATGCGATGCTGTTTCTGATGGCAGCAATAAATTTGGTGATGGTGCAACCGTTGGTGGTGTTCGTCGTCCTATGGAATCTGCACCATTACCATCATCATCTGTTGGCGGGCCGCCACTAGCAGCTCGAATGTGACGTGTTTCGTTTAGTATATGAGTCGTAGCATATGAAGCGGGTACTGTCGGTGTTGGTACGGGCACACTGCCGTGTATGTGTGGATGATGATTTTGATGATGTGGATGCTGAAATTGATGTGGCAAATGATAGTGGTGATGACTGGTTAAATGTGGACGCACTACATGCTCATCCTGATAGTTGAGTGTAGTTGCCGCGGCTGCTGTTGCTGTTACTGCCGCTGCTGTAACACTTTCACTAGTTGTTGGAGCAGCTGTTATAGTAGAATCAATGCTGTGAATTGACATAAAATATTAACTTAATTAATAACCAAACTTTCTGCTCTTTTCATCAATAATATTCATTAATCATTTTTAACATAAAAACCATTTTTGCTGCACAACTTATTTAGTGAAAATAATTTCTTACTCAATCTAATTTATCTACTTTAAATTCATACCGCCCGGTCCAACGTTCACTTCACAATTGCACACTAAAAGCTGAAGCACGTACAGACAGACTCAGTCCTCATGGAATAAAGTACAATGAGCAAAATATAATGTTTTATTGTATTATTAATTGAATTATGCGAATATGCTTCAAGTGCCTGCCTTTTATTACATTTGTTGGTGTCATTGCCTTCATAGGCAAATGCGTGTGAAATGCTGCTTTCAGACATAGATTCAATGCAGCAAAATACTTAATTAGCTTGCATATTAAATTTTGAAAT